ATCTATATTACAGATTTCTGGTAAATTGAGCAGCAAATCTCCTTTACCATATAAAAAACCCCTTCACAACATCGATGACTCATACATTAAACTGATACTAATTCAGTCGATACACTCCAATCATCTTATCAATGAAAACATCAACCTCCGCACACGTCAGTCCCAACGTATCACCAAAGACGTCGCTGCCCCTTGAATATCGCACAGAAAACATCTATTCATACCCAAAAAGGGTCCTTTTCTATTCAAATGCATATTCAATGCAGTATTCAAAAGCAAGTTCACTTTGTCAAAACATCCCTTTTTGCTCTTTGCTACCTACCGAGGAAAATACCGATTACTTGGATTAATTTAATTGAGAAGCAAATATTTCTTATCGAGGGTTGTAAGGAAGGGCGGATGAAAGATTTCTCTGTGGTATGGGCTGGAAATGAATTTATTTAATATTTAATTCAATAATAAATAAATCGAAATGTAAGTATTTAATTAATTCAATAATGAACTGTAGTACCAAATTAAGCAATACGAAATAATTTGTAATAGTTAAATTTAAAAACTTCGCCTTCAATATCCCTTTCAGTATAAAAAGATACAAGAATTCTTCTTCTTCTTAAGGTGCCATGCATTTCTGCGTAGGCGTCCACCGTACATCGTCTTGTCAGGTGAGATGTTAAATACTCAGGATTAAATAATTCTGTTTTTAGCAGCATTGCGAAGCATTTTTATAGCTGTGGATTCCTGTCCATTGTCGAATATTGCGCAGTCATGACATTTTTTCACGTTCTAGACCTCTCCTACCCTCTACCTTCCCTTCGAGTATCAGTCGCTGAAAAGTGTCTCCTCATAATATGTGCCCCAAGTACCTTTCTCCTCATAATATGTGCCCCAAGTACCCAGGCTCCACATTTCAAACACTTCAAGTTTGTTAACGGAACTGTCCTTTAATGTCCATGCTTCCATTCCGTACAGGAGAACAGGCCACACGTAACACTTAAGCATCTTGTATCGGAGGTTGAAGTCCAATTTGCGATCAGTCAGAAACTTACGAAGCCTCAAAAAAGCATTTCTGGCTTGTTCAACTCTGCTCTTTATTTTATTCTTGGGATCCTAACCCTCGTTCAGCAAACAACCCAAGTATTTGAATTGCCTGACCTGTTCGATTTCTTCTCCAAAGAGACATATATCTTTGCGTTGGGGTAATCATTTCTACTTATATATCATTTTGTTTTTTTCTTCTTGATATTTATTTTCAAACTTGAGCTTCACTTGCACGAGTTAGATCATTTAAAAGGCATTGAAGATCTTCGATGTTATCTGCCACTATGGCTGTATCATCGGCATACCCGATGTTATTAATAAATATGCCGTTAACTTTAATACAAAGGCATTTTGCGAAGGCTTTATCTACGTATAAATTGAACAGCATTGGAGACAGTATACAACCTTGCCTTACTCCTTTTTAATGGAGAAATCTTCTGTTTCGTTGAAATTTTGAAGACTTACTGTTGCTGTCTGGTTCCAATACAGATTGGCGATAATTCTTATATTCCTTGGCATCCAATCCCAACTCTTGTAGGTATTTTATCATCAATTCGTGTTTTACATTATCGAATGCTTTCTCGTAATCGATGAATAGACAAAAACATCCTTTCTTTGATCTAAACAATACTGTATTATTGTTTGCATACTAAACTGACTCCATCCACTAACTTCTACACATTTCTTAAACAATCTGGTGTGAAGTATTCTCAGGCAAAGTTTTAAAAAGTGATCATTAGGCTTATTAGTCGGTGGTCCTTGCAGAAGTTCGCACGTGGTGTTTTTGGTAGAGCGATAAAAGTATATAGAAGCCAATCTTTTGGAATCTGGCCCGTATCGTAGATGTCGCTAAGGATCTTGACAATAATGTCTAGGTTTTCTTCATTAAGTAACTTGATTATTTCTGCGTACATATCATCTGGTCCTGGAGTTTTGTTATTTTTTCATAGTTTGATAGCGTGTACAATTTCAGCTTACAAAATACTTGGGCCATACAAATGATCTCCCTGTTGTGGTGGTTTTTGTGTCATCATTGAACAAATTGGCTGTGTACATTTTCCAAGTATTAAGTGTATCGCATGGGTCCGTTATTAGTTTATTTTGGTCATTATGTATACCAGTGGCTTGTTTTTTCTTGAAGAAACCAAGAATTTCCCTAATTTTCTTGTGAAGATTGAAGCTGTCGCCGAGTTTATATAGGCTTTCAGCCTCGGTGCAAAGTGTAGTCCTGCCTAATCTTACATTGTCTGCGTTGTTCCTTCATATCTAATATTTCTTCTGTCATCCACTCATTCTTGGTAGTTGTTTTAATCTCGAGTAGAAAAGTGTTGTTCACCTCATCAAATGATTCTTTTATGATGGTCCATGACTGTTCAACACCATTCTCAGTTGCCATATTAGAGAACCTATTGTTTATTTCCTCTGTGTACGCTTCACTTGTTTTACTGTTTTTGTGTTTCCTAATGTTTACTGATGCCTTCTGGTGTTTTCCTTTAGCTGTAGCGATATAAGAATTGTTCACTAACAAATCAAATTTTCACTGTTATAGAAGCACAATATTCACAGAACACGTGTTACTTGTAACTAAGCATAAGCTAGCCGAGAAATTCCATTGGTTGCTCCGCTCTCCCCTCCACGTTTTTCTACCTGTTCGAGATCCCTACTGCTATTTTTATACACAGATATCTTTGACAAATTTTCCTATATGCCTACTCAGGTAAAATTTAACATATAAATAAAAAAATACTGTTTAAAGTGAAAATATATGGTCAAAACATTAATGTTTTTATAATAATTTGTTTAAACAATAAAAAAAATAGAGTGGACAAAAAAAATGTTGGCTTAACATTGCAATTTATAGTTTTAAAAACAATATTAATCAGACATCGATCATATTAATTCATTCACTATAACTCTAATCCGAGGTTTTACGGTTTTGAATGCTCCAGGCACTCCACTAATTCTATTTCCCTCCTTTCTCGTCTTGTATCATTTTTGTCTATAGTAAGGTTTTTATGTTTCGTAAATTTGTAACATTTGCATTTTTGTAAGAATAAATTATTTTACAAAACATTACACTTAGCTTTTTCATTGGAAATTGTATCGAAATGTAACCAAACAGCACTTCTTTTTTGAAAATCCATTTTGATATTAGATAATTTAAAAAAATAAATTGAAACAAATTATATGATATGAATAAGTAAATGCAAAAGGAAGCCTCTCAGTTCTATATAGTTCTTGACTTCTATCCACTCAAAGCAAACAAGTATTTCAAACAAAGTGATATATTAGATTCTTTTTCTGGACCATTATTCTGCCTATTTCCTTTCATTTACAATAAAAAAATTTCTTTTTTTTACAGTTGCAAGTAATAAAATGGTGTAAATATCAAAGAAACCGCCAACCATTTCGACAGGCGTATTATATCACACTTCTTCTTCTTCATGTGCCTTGTCCGTTCCGAATGTTGGCAATCAACATGGCTATTCTCATTTTGTTTACGGCAGATCTGAATAGTTCAGCAGATGACAATCCAAACCATTGCCGCAAATTTTGGAGCCACGAGTGTCTTCTCCTCCCTAGACCCCTTCTGCTGTCTATTTTTCCTTGAACGATTAGCTGTAGTACTCTATATTTATTATGTCTCATAACGTGACCCAAGTATTCCAACTTTCTGTTCTTTATACTTATTCCTACCTCTCTCTCTTTACCTATCCGGCGTAGTACCTCTTCGTTGGTCACGTGCTCAGTCCAGGATATACGTAATATACGTCGGTAAGCCCACATTTCGAAGGCCTCTACTTTTTTCATCAATGTTGCGGTCATTGTCCACGCCTCCATATAACAAAACCGGAAAACATTTCAGAAGTCGAATTTTAAGGAGTAGGGCTTTTAGAGGTAAAAATTTTGCTTCATGCTAGTGAACGATGCTCTGGCCTTTTCTACTCTTATACGTATTTCTCTTCGCTGGATCCCAATTTAAGTTAACTGTTGTTCCCAAGTAAATGTACGAATCCACGTGTTCAATTTCTTCAGTGTCTAATATCAGTTGCTGTGGTGGTTGTTGGGTTTTGCTTACTAACATCTATTTGGTCCGTATTGTGCACTTGTTTTTGTATCTTACTCATTAGGCAACTCATTTCCTCCATGCTACTTGCTAGAATCACAGTGTCATCAGCATACCTTATGTTATTAATTATTTCTCCATTTATCTTTATGCCTTCTGTGCTTTCCTCCAGCGCCGGAGACAAGATACAGCCCTGTCGTACCCCTTTCTTGATTTCAATTTTATTGGTCAATGTAGATCCTACTTTCACTCTAGCTGTTTGATCCCAATAGAGACTCGCTATTGTTCGAATGTCTCTGTAGTCGACTCCGATCTTATGGAGAACTTCAATTATCTTTTCGTGCTTTACGTAATCGAATGCTTTTGCGTACTCTATAAAGCATATATACACGTCTTTGTTCATATCTCTGCAGCGCTGGATGAGTACCTGTAGACTAAAAAGTGCTTCTCTTGTCCCAAGAGGATTCCGAAACCCAAACTGCGAATCTACAATGTTATCCTCGCATTTTTTGCTTATTCTGTTGTAAATAACCTTGGTGTATGCCTTCGAAATGTGGTTAATTAGACTTATCATCCGATGTTGATCACAAGACTTTGCTTTTGGTTTTTTCGGTATGTCAACAAAAGTTGACTCTAGCCAGTCTTCAGGAAACTCCCCGCTGTTATAAATATTGTTAAAGAGTCTGACGAGTGAGTCTAGAGATTGACTGTTTGTTTCGCACAGCATTTTCAATAATTCCCCGTATACGTTATCGTTGCCTGGTCTTTTGTTATTTTTAAGACCCTTTATAGCATTCTCCACTTCTGATTTTAGAATAGAAGGGCCAGTATCATCATTGCTCAGTGTACAACCACTAGGACGGTCATCATTAAACTGTTGTTCCACATAAGTTTCCCAGATTCTAACTATTTTGTCGGGGTCTAGTTGTAGATTTCCATTATCATCGCACAGCCCTTTCGATAAAATATTGTAGCTTTTTCTTTGTTGTGAGTTCCTTTATTTTCTTATGCATATTGTGATAGTCGTATACCTTTTCGCACTGTTCGATTTCTTCGCATATCTCCGAGAACCATTTCTCTTTAGTTTTTCTTATCTCAGCTCTTATTTGTCTATGGGTTTCACGGTATTTGGCAGTATCTTTAGTTTTATATATCCGTCTCTCTTCCATCATGTCAAGGATTTCTGCAGTCATCCAGTCTTTCTTTTTTCTCTTATCAGGTAGTAAAAACTTAGTGCTTGAAGTCCTAATATCTTTTTTAATTTCACTCCACTTTTCATGTTATTTCATTTCATTTCATTGTTCATTGTTATTTTTAAGGATTTTTGATATTTCGGTATTTAAATTCTCCTGCGTCTGTTGTTTAATATTATTGTTGGAAAGCTTCCTAATATCTAGCGTTTCGGGCCTGTTCTTTACATTTGGCTTTTTTAACTTTACTTTACACTTACATACCACCAGATTGTGGTCTGACTCTATATCACACTAGTTTATTGAAATATTATTTCAATGTATTTATACTTTTGATATAATATTGATAAATATAATTATACTTTTTTTTGTTTTTGAAAGATTAATGCAAATTGCTTTATTTGATTTTTTTGGTGAAATATTTATTTTTCAACCTTACAGCCCATTTTCTATATATACTGAATCATTTTCTATTTCACATCTGTCAGCGATAAATACAACTTAGTTTTCTCTTAGTGACTCACTCTTATGAAAAGAAAATGAAAATCTCTAATTTATAGCAATCGCTTAAGACTCTATCCAGTTCATTCTTATCGAATACCACCCCAATATCTCACATCCTCCTACTCTTATACGTCATAGTCACCATCTATCACCTCCGGATCACACCCCGTACATCAGTTATGTTTATCCCGCCAATATATTCGGCGACTGTAATCAGCTGTGACGCTCTAACTCAGAACGCAGAACAAGAGCGAGTCCAGAGTGTATGTCTGAGTCACCGTTCCTGTGTTTACACCCCCCTTCACTACTCCCCCAGGCCCACGCGACCACCCTTAACACAGGGGCAGCATCGAACCCTTAGCCCTTCATTCGCGGTGTCTAATCACTCTTTGCAGTGTGTGTACGGAATTTTACTATGATCAGATCGGCTAAAAACTCGTATCGATGCATTGTTTTTGTTCTGTGCAGTGATTTTTGGTGGGATATTGCCCAATAAGTGCGGAAAATGTAGAAATTTGTGTTGTTTTGTTTGTGAGTAGTGAGCACGTGGTGATTTCGACAAGATCGATATTCGGCTTGAGGGGTTTTCCCGCTTAATTACGGGAAACTCTCGACACACTGTCTCGACGGGGATTATTTAGTATAAAAGATGGCATTCGGAATAATTTGTTGATACGAGACTTGTAAAATAATATCAGATATATCTATATTTTGTGGAAAATGATTTCCTAACCTTACATTGTACAAGCAGTATGATTCATATTTAGGTTTTAAGAATGAAACGGAAATATACGAAACTAATTCGGAGCAGATGTCGTGTCTGATGCACTTGTAAGGTTTGTTTTGATTCTGGTGGAACTATTTCGAACCGGTGAAAGTGAATTCGGAACCGTTCCACAGTTCGAAAAGAGTTCTGAACGAAATATTATATCTATTATTTTTAATATTGTAATTATATATACTGCAATGATTTTTATCACTTTAGTTATTTTGTGTACGGGAAGAATAAAATCGACTCGAATGCAACGAAAACTGATGAAGTCATGAAGTCATTATAGATAAATTTTGAGAAAATTAATTCACAAGACAAGTATAAACACTAGTTAGCATTTTCTAAAATATCCAAAAATACACTGTATAAAACAAAACTTTTGAATGTATATTTATTTAAATGCAGTTCCACAATTTATCACCAATAAATATATTTCTGTTGTTTTCTATGAGTTACATTTTTCGTTGAAACAGTTAGGGAAAAAATGACATACGATCATTTTGAAAGAAACATTTTAATCTTCTTTTTAAGATGCCTTCTCCATTACTGAAGGTTGGTTATAACTAGAGCAAATTGCTTTCTATTGTAGTATATTTATATTGTTCTAATTTATTTGTCTTTATTCTAATGTATTGTCTATATTCTAATTTATTAAAACCCACGATAACTAATTACTAATTTATTAATTAACTTTACAACTATTTATGTTACGTTTTCGTTACAATTAAAATCGCGTTTCCGATCTTCTTATGACTAACTCTTCCAAATTAAATTGTTTCGTTTATAATACATAAACTGCTGTTATCTCGAAAGTTCGGCGACCAACGGTTAAAACTAGTTTTTTTTAACTGCTCGAGTCGTGGATGACTCATCAAAATTGGGGTCTATAGGTTTCTGTAAACAACTTCGAATTGACTGGAACAAAAACAGAATTAGTCATAATATATTTATAGTTATAAACGCCATAATTATCGTGACACTATCTTAAGCTCTTCTTAGTATCGAATGTGTGTCCATGCCTGTCCAGTCTCTTACATTCTTCAACCAGGAGCATTTTCTTCTTCCTGGACCTCTTCTTCCTTCCACTTTCCTCCTATTATAAGTCGTAGGAAGTTGTATTTTTCTCCTATGTAAATATGTCCTAGATAACTGTTTTTTTACAATATTTAGGAGTTCTCTCAGTACCCATTCTTCTTAGCACCTCGTCGTTGGTCACGTGTTCTGTCTAAGAGATCTTCAGCATCCTTCAAAAAACCCACATCTCAAAGGCTTCTATACGCCTCATACTTGTAATTCCGAGAATCCATGTTTCCACTCCGTATAGCAATATGGAATAAATAAACGTTTTTACAAATTGGTATTGGATATCCAACAATAACGTAGAGTTTATTAGGAATTTTTTCATTCGTTGAAATGCGGACCTACCATATTCTATACACGCACGTATTTTCGACTTAGTGGTCAAGATCGTTTGTAATCCAGCAACCAAGATACTGGAATCTTTTTACTAGTTTTATATGTTTGTTATAGATATGAATATTAATGTCGACATTTGGTGTACGTGTAACAGCCACTACTCTTGTTTTATTTGTCTTTATATTTAGTCCCAAGCTATCTCCCCCTCTGGTCAAAAGTCGTTGTAAACCCTCAGTATTGTTTACGTATTTTCCTTTGATTTTTATTCCTTTTTCGATATTTTCGAGGGCATTTTGAAAGATGTTTTCGGAGTGTATATTAAATATCAGTGGGGAAAGTACACAGCCCTGACGAACTCCTCTTTTTATTGGCAATTCTGCTGTCAGACGTTTGTATATTTTGATCGACGCCATTTAATCCCAATATAATTTTTTAATGTGTGCTATAGTGTTATGGTCTATACCATGTTGTGTTAGGGTTTCTATGAGTTCTGTGTATTTTATTCGATCAAACGCTTTTTCGTAGTCGATAAAACAGAGAAATACGTCGTTTCGCTGATTTAAGCAGTCTTGTAGTAATATCTGGAGGCCAAATAATGCCTCTCTTGTACCAAGCCTCATACGAAATCCAAATTGATTGCTGCTCAGGTTTCTTTCGCATTTTGTGTATACCTATTCGTTGATGTACCATTTTGAGTAAAATTTTCAGAAAATGACTCATCAGGCTAATTATTCTGAACTGTGAGCATCTATTTGCTTTATTTTTTTGTGTATAGGTATAAATGTCGATCTAAGCCAGTCTTTTAGGAAGATGGTATATTTTATATTTTGTTAAATAATAGTGTTAACGTCTGAAGATTTTTTTATTGATTGAAGGCTTTTCGTGGCTTTGCCGTATTGATTGTTTTTGTAGCTTCCGATGTTAATATATCAAGTATTGTTTCTTGTACTATATTTATTTATGGTTCATTGTGGAACATTTTAATAAGAACTTTACAATTATATCTTAAATTTTACAAAATAGGTTACATTTACCTCTACTCAAATTCATCTTCATCAGATTCGTAGCCACTAGAACTTTTATTATTGTTCTGAAGCTATTTTCTTGTGGCATTTTAAATTAATTACTATTTAACTGGGAATAAGCTACAATTAAAGATAAAAATACGTTTATTGACATTTTAATTTCCACTTCGGAAATCGTTCTCAAAATACAAACAGTAAATTAAACAAATTTTGTTTTTTGTTACATAGTGAAAGATTCTTCTAATAATTTAATTTTATCTGACTTATTTATATTGACAATTCAGACATACATTATGCATTTTAAAGTAGACGACTTTAAAATGATATTGCCAATATTGTTGAGTTTGCGCTCCTGGGACGACTTTATTTATAAGATAGTTCATTCGATTACATGAAATCAACTTTAACTTGAGAATAGCCGTCAAAAAAAAAATCATAGCATGTAATTCGTCTTTAAAAAGACAAACACATGACATGATGACAGTAAAATTCTCCTGTTAGTAAACAAAATTTAAAACCCACAGTATGGTGGAGGTATGTAGATGATGTATTCTCAATATGGCCTCATGGATCAGAGTTGTTGGACACATTCCTAAATGATATAAACGATAAAGAAGAGACAATAACATTTACCATGGAAAAGGAATATAATAACACGCTACCTTTCCTAGATGTTTTAATCTCTAAGAACGATACTGGATATGAGACTCAGGTGTATAGAAAACCAACACACACCAATAGATAATTAAATTTCAAATACAATCACAATATTAATGTAAAAAAGGGAATAATTAAATCCTTATACGACAGAGCAAAAATTACTTGTTCTAACGAAAATTCGTTCTTGGAGGAGAAACATTTGTTTACATCTGTTTTATTAAAAAATGATTATCCTTTATCATTTGTAAATAAGGAATTTTCAACAATCGATCGAATAGAACAAAACAACTTAGAACAGATCCTACAACATACACAAGGAATAATACGAGGAAAATAACAATACCGTACATAAAAGGATTATCAGAAAAACTTAAAAGGATAGGAAATAAATTCAACATTTCAACAACATTCAAAACAACAAACACGTTGAAATCTATTTTGTCCAAAACCAAACCTAACAATGAACAAGAAAGGACAAAGAATTGCATTTATAAAATACCTTGTGAATGCGATCAGTTTTATTTAGGCGAAACATCAAGGCCATAAAATGTTAGAATAAGTGAACATCAATCTTATATTAAAAATAGAGAATTTGATAGACTATGACATAGGAATGAACATAGGGTTTAATGGAATAATTCAAATGTAGTCCTAAAAGAAACGGATGGTAAAAAAGAAAAATCAAAGAAGCGGCTCTAGTTATGCTAAATGAGGCCAAATGTGTCGCAAATTCCTCGGCAGAATGTAGTAGGATCTGGTTACCAATATTGAAAGAGGAAGTTATTAAT